CCGCGGGCGCTTAGCTAGTATATATATATATACGGTTTACCGGGCAGTTCTGTCGGTAAAACTCGGACGAAACAGTTTGTCACAGCCCCTCCTTTGTTGTCCTCTTCTCTCTCTCTGCCTACGGTTTACAGGGCAGTTCTGTTTGTGACGATATAACACAAATATATCTATATATATATATATGGGCATGTAGGGTTTCTCTAACCCTACAGCTCCATACTTTTTATTTTGCGAACAGCTGATTTTTTTGGTATTAAGAAAAACAAATTCGAAAACCACAAAAAAGAAAAAAAAAAGGGGAAAGAAAACTAGGAACCGGGAAAGACAGGTAGAGCGGGGTAGGGCGCCATTAGAGCACCCCTCCATCGGGAATTCATAGGTTCGAGCTCGACTCTCAAGGCAGATAAGTCAAATACTACAACCGAACTGCGAACCCGCACGATTGTACCTGGCTGGCACTACGACCCCGTCAAGAAGGGGCAAAAGGACATTTGCCCCATTTACGATATCTATCCATCCTCTCTAATAGACAGCCTGGGGGGCAAATTTGTAAATTGTACTGAATTACTCACCCGGAGTTCCAAAACATAGTTAACAAATTAACCGCATTAGCCGGAGCAAGATCATCTTCTACTCTTCATTTCCAATCTAGGAAAATCAGTTTAAATCACTCCACTCTTCATTTTTTCATATCTAGGAAAACCAGTCCACTCTTCATTTTTCCACTCTAGGAAAACAACTTCACTCTTCATTTCCAATCTAGGAAAAAACCATTCCACTCTTCAGTTTCCAATCTAAGAGAAATAACTCCACTGTTCATTTCCAACCTAGGAAAACAACTCGACGCTTCTTTTCCAAATTCCAATTGACGTAAACGACTTCACTCTTCATTGCCAATCTAGGAAAACAAAACAAAAAAAAACAAAAAAAAAAAACACTCTTCATTTCCAATTTAGGAAAACGACTCGTCTAAGAACCAATAGGCGAACGCGCCAAGATTCCAGGAGGAGTATCCAGGCCTAGCTTAACGACAAGAAGAGAACTGGGGCAAAATTGCACGTGCTACGAACCTGGGGCTGCTGCGTACACGTGGCAGCACATGCGAGAACAGACCATGAAGAAATGACACCACGTGGCAATCGAGAGGACTAGCTACTTATAAGTATGATGATCGGAGGGGAGTCATCACAGTTTAGCTTGATTCAACTTAAACGAGTATTGTTTAACTTCATTTAATTATGATTTTACTGGATTAACTTATTATGAATTAACTTAATTAAATAAATAATGTTTCATTTTAGTTGATTGATTTGGTATGAATTGACATGATTAAATCATGATCTATGTGAATATGGGGATGACAAAGAAAATGAAACAACTAGAATTCCATAAATGAATTTTAACGACAGGAGAAAGAAATAAATCATTCTGCAGTCGTTTACTAATCAGAATCAAGATTGAAGCCACAGAAAGCCAGGCTTCCAATTAACGAACATAATAATGGACATCGGGATCGGGATCGGTTCTCTGTCGGGAGCAAAATACTCCGAGGGACGTACAATACAACTAGTACATCCATGGGGTATAATATACCAAAAAAAAAAAAAAAAAACCTTCATAAACTATCATTCATTTCTCTCCTACAGACTAATACACGAAAAGAATGAACTGCTGTCAATTTACAACGTCTAACCCGTTAATTAAAAAAAAAARAAAAAAAAAAAAAAGGATTCATTTCAGAGTATACACAAGATCTGTTAGTCACGACACTAACGGGATGCTAATTCTTACGTGGACGTTGACAACGCACCTGGCCTCGATTGGAGCCGGATACGTCTTTCAAAGTGCTAGAGCAAGTTTACCCTCATCTGAAAGACTCCTCCCCATAATTTACCGCCAATCACTCACAAGAATACAGTTATTTAATTGCGCCCCACCTAAGTGGATATCGCCGAAAAGATTAAACAGTCTAGAAAATAGCAGAAATAGTCCGCTGCCCTGATCCCCGCCGCCTCACCGATTTTCGGCCATCGTGTGAAGAGAGTAATCTGTCCAAAAATAGTCGGCTTTCCTACTTCCGCTGCCCACCTACTCTCGAACACCGTGGATCGTCGCATCATGTACAAGCGTCCGTTAAATACATGTCCGCTGGTTTACCGTTGCAAGTTCATGATATGCCCTATTCTTTCTTCGACGACGTCTATGTTGGGCCTCAGCTGAGCGTCTGCCTCAACACATTGGAGTGCCAACAGCAACATTTCGAGTACCATCTGCTCCCCGTTCTTGCACCTTGTCAGGTCACACCGAAGGCTGCGGTCTACGACCGTTCCCACAATGTTCAAATTCCGACACTCATGGATGGACTTCACCCACTCTGGCAGCGTTTGCCATTTCGTACCTGTCGACGGAAGCGCCGGTTCGCGCGCCGTCCGCCCAGTCATCATCTCCAACAGCAGAACCCCGAAAGAGTACACGTCAGCCTTGGGCGACAGCTCTCCCGCCCTGTACTCTGGCGCAATGTACCCCTCCGTCCCGACCAAGCATGATGGCTGGATCAAGACGTCCTGCTGGGTATCGAACACTTGTTCGCTGATGCGCGCCAAGCCGAAGTCAGCGAGAACGGCGCGCAGCTCCGTCCCGGCCCCGCCGTCGAGGAGCACGTTGGTCCCCTTGATGTCCCGATGCAGTACCGGCGGATGAGCACCGAAGTGTAGGTATCGCAACCCTTGCGCCATCTGGTACCCGATCGAGATGCGCTCAGCGAGTCCCAATGGGGGGAGACAAGCTGCGCTTCCGCCCGCGCCGGCTCCCCTCACGGGCAGGTTGAATAACCTGTCACACAAGTTCCCCCCAGGATAGAAAGGATAGACCAACACGCAACGTCCCGCTTCTTGACAGTAGCCAATCAGCCTAATTAGGTTGGCATGATGGACTCTGCTAAGCGTTCTTACCTCCGCCACGAATTGCTTGGATGAGTCCGCCGTCAACGCCCCTCTCATGACCTTTATTGCCACCTCCCTCTCCTCTACAGTCCCCCTGTACACGATCCCGAACCCTCCCTGAGGACCCACCTGGGCAGCCTCAGCGAATCCGTTTGTGCAATGCTGTAATTGCGACCAGCTGAACAATCGTACGGTTCTAGGATCAAGTGACTCGGAATAATCGGAGCCTCGGGACCGTCGGCTCCTGCCATGAGATTCGTGTGGTTCAGATTCATCGGAACGTCCGGACCTTCGGATCCTGCCTCGAGATCGGGATCGAGTTCGGCTTGCTCCACTAGACGGCGGCCCGCTCAGGCCAACAGATGCCATAGGAACTGCCGAGCGGCGGGAGTCATCTGGAGCCGAGGCTTCTCCGACGGGACCCTCCAACGTTCTGCAGAGAATCAGCACTAGGAATGCAATCAACGCTGCGATTAATACCAAGACGATTGCTGACGTGGCGATCAAGGCTTGCGAGGAAGATGACAAAGCCATCGGGATTTGAAAAAAAGGCAGGGTGCGGTGCAGCGGTGGGCGTCGAGGGCCCCCGTAAGACAACCGGGCTGTCGGAGGCAATCCCGTTATGAAATAACCTTAAAGCAGAGGAGATTAGAAACTCTCTGACGGCGGCGGTCAACTCGAAGGGGGGGGGGGG